TTTAATTTTTTAATTTTAATTTTTTAATAGATTGCAAATTGAAAATAAATTATTTACAAACATAAATGAATATAACAATAGAAATTGTCCAAAATAAAAATGAAGAATTTACAGATCAGTCATAATAGTTTACTGTGTCAAAACCAAGAAACATATTCATATAATTAGAATTCTCAAAGTGGAAAGGAGTAGGCAATAAATATTTAAAGATTTAAAATTTCTGAATTTAGTTTAACTTATAATACCACATTTCCAAGAAAAATGAATCTTTTTGCACAAGAAATTTAAATAAAATCATACTAAGATACACAAAAATGAAATTGTCCAAAACTTATTGTAAAACAAATCATTAAAGCATATACATAAAAATATTAGCTATGGAGGAACAAAATTAAATAGCATCTTATTCCACATTAGAAAGAAAAAAAAGAACCAAGTGTGTAAGACACTAGACTAATTAAAGGACTGAAAGAAAAAAAGATCTGTCCTCTTTGAATTTTATACTTAGCAAACATACCTTTGAAAACTAAAACTAAGATTTTCCAGTTATACAAACTTGAAATATTTTAATACCTAAAAAAGTAGCATATAGGAAATAACAAAGAGCATAATTCAAAAGGCAAGAGAAGTTGCAGTATGCTCCTGGATGAACAATAAAGGGCTCTCAATATGATAGTTATGTAGGACTATATAAAATATATTAGATGAACCCTTATTTAAAGGTCATTGAAGATTTCTATGAAACAGTATCAATCTTAGGTTGGGTTATACACATATTTTTTTCATATATATGTGTGTGTATGCATGTATAAAAGACAGGGAGGAAGTAATATAAAGTCAACAGAAAATGGGAATCTACTTTTTAAAGTTTCTAATACTAGGAGAAGATATCATACAATGTCTTTTAAATAAATTGTAAGTCAAAGATACAGTATAAATCTTAGAACAAAAATTAAGATTAAGCAATATTCAGCAAATTAAATACTAATTAATTAAAAATTAAATGTTTCAAAACAATTGAACTAAGAAAAAGTTTTCATGATAGTAAAGGAGTACTAAGAGTCAAACATAAGATGAATACTGGAATGGCAAATAAATGACCAGCACTTTTAACAGTTTGAGGATAGGATATCGCACAAAGTTCTAGTGTGTTGTGGACATGCATAATGACCATGACAGTTACTGGTGGCCAGGTGTCACTTGTGGGACTGAGCTACAGCTATTTCTTTGAAATCCACTCTGTAGACTCAGATGGAATCATGACCCATAGGGTGGAAGAGAAGTCCATTTGTAGAGTGTGCTGATGGAAATGCTTTGCTGCTGTACACAGAAGAATAACTGAAAGACTACTATTGTATATCTCTTATTCTCCTGTGTTTAATTGTTTGCCCTATTTGGTGGGTTCTTTCCATTCTCATTCATGGGGCTGTGATCAATTTGCTCCCTCTCTAGAACATCATTTAGCAGTCTGTGTAGGGTTGACTTTGTCATCATGAAATTCTTTAGCTGTTCTTTGCCATAAAAGTATTTCACTTCTCCGTTATACTTGAAAGAGAGTTTTGCAGGGTATATCAGTCTGGGTTGGAATTTGTTTTCTTGCAAGACTTGAAGTGCTTTGCTCCATGCTCTTCTTGACTTGATGGTTTGTGAAGAGAAATCTGCTGTTATCTGATGGGTTTTCCTTTAAATGTGATCTGTTTCTTTTCTTTAGCGGCTTTTAGTAAACTGTTCCTGTGCTGAATTTCTGGGTTCCTGATTATTATATGTCTG